ATGAATCTTAGAGCTGAACGATGCCTTTGCTTAACTTTCTGATTCTGAAGAACAGAGAGACCCAGGGACATTAGGAGATTTCTCCAGGAACTACCGTATTAATTTTAAAGCATATAGCTCACAAGGGCCACTGTCTTAACTTTTACACAACAGGAGATGTGTGATCAGAGATGACGCAGCTGGTCCAGAGCAGCACAGAGAGCTGGGACCAGAGCTGAGGTATGGAGCCTGATCTCCTGTTTTCCAACTTGGTGCTTCTTATGGATACCACATGGCTTCTGGGCAAAGTGAGGAATTTAGAAATGGCTTGTCTACTCTCTAGCAATCCCTTTTACTTTTCTGTCTATCTGTGGTGACCTAAAACCCCACTGCCAGAGCATGCACATTCACAAAATTTAATTGTATTTCCTAGTTGAGAAAACACAAGGTGTAATACTAAAAAGGGCACCAAGGGGTTTTTGCTGGGAATAAAAGTCTCCTTTGTCCAACTGTCCTTCAGCTCTCTGGTTTATTCTCTGTCTGTTTGTCTGTCTCTCTGTTGCCCCCACTATCCGAGTCTCTTGCATGTTGTCTGGGTAAGATGTGCCAAGAGAAGCCAACACACATGCCTATGTACCCTTCTAATGAAAAGAGGGAAGCCTGCTGTGCTTGCATCCTAGCTTGCTTTTTAATCGGCTTAGATGTTGATGGGATAGCCATTCTTACCAATAAACATAGAAGCGACCCCTTCATCAGCAGGGAGACATGCCTGGAGGGTCTAAGTTAAGCCCTCGCAGGCCTTACATCCAGTTGAGAATGGAAATTGGCCCCCGAATCTGATGTTCTGAGGTCGGGACTGTAAAGACAGAGATCCAGAGGCCAGGGGGCCAGCTGAGACTTCACAGCTTGTCACACACAAAGATAAATTGCTTTGGGAACAGAGCTATATTCCCAGAGATAGCAAGGTACTCAAGTTTTGTAGCTCATGCGATTGATGAAAGGTTCACTAGCAACTAACTACGTAGTTAAAATGTGGGAAGGCAGTAATTGCATTTAAATGTGTAAAAATGAGATTCTGAAGTTTCCAGAGAGGAACTATTGAAAATGTCTGTGCTGGAAATGTGCTACATTAGTTATGGTCAAACCATAAATGGAACAGTACGAGGCTGTTAAATGAATGCATTGGATCCATATACACAGACGTGGAATCCTTCCCAGGAAGTCAATAAATGGGAAACCCAAGCTAAAGGACAGTGAGTAAGTGTCTTAGCTTGAGATCTCTGGAAGCAAAAATAGACATTGTAGGAGAGGATTCTCCAGGAGGAGTGGGAGCAGGATAGAGTATGGGATTCTTTACAGCAGCAAGGAACCATGTCTCACCCCTTAGTAAAACTCCTAGAGGCTGAGAGCAGAGCATACTAGCTAGAGGTGGGTTGAACAGTCTTGACAGCAGCCACTGCAGAAGGCATATCTCATGTCACTGCCCCGTGTGTATATCCATCTGCTTGCACAGGCTGGAAACCCTAAGAGCAGAACTTCCTGCTCCATATTCTGGAGGCTTCCAGTCCCTAAGGGCTCAATGATAGAACTATCTGGCCATATAACTGACTTTCTTTGTAATTCTTTGTGTTTTTGTTTGCACATTTTCAAACATTCTTCTAAGAGGGGGAGCCGTAGACTTTATCAGACATCTAAGGGGTCTGCGGAATGTATAAAAATAATGAGAAGACAGTGGTAGCTTGTCGCAGTCTTTCTTGGACCGCCAACCCCCAAATCATGACATGGAGACTTATTATTAATCATGAATGCTCAGCCTTAGCTTAGGCTTGTTTCTAGCTAGCTTTAAAAAAAAAATTAAATTAACCCATTTCTATTAATTGATGTGCTGCCCTGAGGCTCATTTACCTCACTTACATACTGTCCATCCTGCTTTCCTGCTTCCTCTGTGTCTGGCTGGCGGGCTTTGCTTTTCTCTTTGCCTGACAGCCCCTCCTTTTCCTCCTCTGCCTAGCTATTGGCTGTTCAGCTTTTTATTACATCAATTAGGTACCTTAGGCAAGCAGGGTGAAACAGCAACACATCTTTACATAGTTAAACAAATGCAGCACAAACAAATGCAATACATTTTTACATAGTTAAACAATTATTCTGTAGCATAAATAAATGCAACACAGGTTGGAGATTTAGTTCAGTGATAGAGCACTTGCCTAGCAAGCGCAAGGCCCTGGGTTCGGTCCTCAGCTTAAAAAAAAAAATAAATGCAACACATCTTTATATAGTTAAATAGATATTCTATCCCACAACAGTAGTTATGTTTGGCCTTGAATTTTAGGGATGAGAGAGGTAGATTCTAGGGCTTTGGAGTGATAAGTAGGAAAAGGTCTCCACATTTTGTGTGCATATGTACTAGTGTGTGGGGGCTAGACATCAACCTTAAATGTCACACCACCCTGTTTGTGCTATGGAATGCATGTGGAGGTCAGAGAACAACCTTGCCATCCATTTTGTTTGAGATGAGGTCTCTGATTCTCAGCTCCATATGCCAGGCTCCTGCTTTGGGCTTCTGGGGATTCTCCTGTATCCATCTCCTATCCTGCACAGGAGCACTGGGATCACTGGTTCATGCACTGCTGTGCACTGAATGCAAGTCCTCATACTTGTATAGCAAGCACATTATCCACTGAGCCTTTTCCCCAGTTCCCCTGACTTCCACATTCTTCCCTCCCTCCCTCCCTCCC